TTGGCAGCTGAACATGCTTGGAGGAGAACACTAAGCGACAATTCTGTTACGGCAGCCAACAGATGCCTGCACTGGCTCGCATCGCGCTGAGTGATGGGGGAGACGGGGGGCCATCCTACCCACCCAGAGAGAGCCACTCTTGGACTTCCGGCCACAGAAGGGTGTAGCGTCACCAGGAATCAAACTCATGATCGCCTCATGACAGGGCCAACACTTAGATGGTCACTCAGGAGACCACCAGAGATATTTTGCTAGTCCTGCTGCATAACATAGACATAACCATGCCATAAACATGTCATGGCAGATGTCACATGCAATAATAGGTTCAAATTCAGTAATATAACAGTGATATGTAACCATTACCGATAATTGTCATGACAGATGCTGTGACAACTAATCAAAGTCATCGATAACATCAGTAATAAATAAAATTGCTGGCAGTGAACCAATTTATTGATTAGTTGGCTTGAAGAAATGAAACCTTTGAAACTATGAAATGAAACTATGAAAACATTTCACTTTAATGTCATCTAAAAGGAATAAAGATGTGCAGAAGTCAATATAGAAAAAAGAAAGAAGTGTTGGATGATAGCCAATGACAACTGTTAGAGGCCTATCAGAGTAACGAATGAGAAACAGATCTATGAAAATCAGTCACTACAATTAGAAGCGTATCATGTCAGTGTGAGGACCGTTCTGTTGAACTGGTTTAAAGTCAAAGTTCAAAACATATTTCAGGCTTTTAACTGACTTGTACTAAAACTTTTGCTTTGTACTTTTGCTTTTATTGACCCTGTACTGTAATTATTTATTTTATTAAAACAAATGATTGAACATTGCATTTAGTCACTACCAAAACACTCATAACACTTCCGAAACTTTACCAAATGTTTCGGTGGTGGCAGTTTTAGCACATTTTGAGCAGAACTCAAAAACGCTAGCAAGTAAATGACTAGCTTTCAACAGCTGTACAGATATAAAAGCATCATATTTTTCTTTAACACACAAAAAAGTACTTAACTGTAGAAAATATGTATTTTTTAGGGATTAGGGTGTTTGGGATAGATACCTCCCAATAAGCACTACCCTATAAATGAGGATTTTGTATTTAGTTATCTTATTACTATCTCAATTACTGCCTTGAGTTTAAATTGATCATAATATAATCTTTGTAAATGTCTTAGGTCTGAGTGTATTTTTTACTGTGGGACCACAGTGTGAGCTAATTCAGTAGAACAGTCCCTGAATATGGGAAGAACTCAGTACAGGGTGATGCAGGTGAGCAGATTGAATAGTTCTGCTCTGAGTCAGTGCAGGTACTAGTATCCTCAGGAGACAAGGTTTTATCGTCAGTTCTCTACTGAATGCAGATTTTATCAATAGTGAAAATGTATTTTCTTTATTACCTTGTAGTTTTTATGCTTAGCAAGTTTATTCCAAAGCATAAGTAAAACAACAAATTGAAAAAAAAAATATATAAGAATGATAAACGTTCAGTTTTCAGCCTGGCGTGTCTTCAGTTTCGGTTGAGGTGCATCGGTAATATTCGTCATTAATTATATCCTCGTTTATTGATTTTTCTAAGTTGCGTACCGTCCCAGCTCTAATCTGTGGCTCTGCATGTGTTGGTTTTGTTTGTGTTGGCTGATTGTGTGTGTGTTTAAGATGTGTTGAGGTGGAACAGTGATCCGTGCTGGTGTGTTCGGCAGAAAGCGGAGAGGCACTGAGGCCTTTTCTCTTTGTTTGTGGGGGCAGACGTCCCGCGAGGCTCAGCAGAGATGAGAGATGGACAAACAGTTTGATTTTGCACCACTGCCCCGAGCGCAGAGAGAGAGAGAGGAAAAAAAGGAGACATATAGTTTAAAAAGAAAACAGAGCTTAATGCCGGCAAAAAGAGAGAATAGATTGAGATGAGGTTAGTTAGCCAATGGGAGGTCACGCGTCTATTTCCATCTACCTCTGTGTATGTGTGTTGAAGCATTATGTTGCTGCTCTTTTGCTGTCTGCCCACACTCTTATACCCATTCTTACATCCTGTAACTTAAAGGGCCCATATCATGGAAAAACTATTTTTGTTTTTTTTTAAGAGTTTCAAAACATGCTCTTCTCTCCCTGCTCAATACAGTCAGTACATAAACAAAGCTGCAAAAACAGCCTGTTTTAAATTCACATTTTTGTGATGTCACTAACCATCATATCGCTGGTGTCGGAACAAAATCTTCAGTTTTATCGTTTTTCAGTTTTTGACATAATTTGAAAATGCCTGTTACCCTTTACATTGTATCAGAATTTCATAAGGAATGGACCAACAGAAACGGCCCAAAATTACTTGCAAAGACGTTTGGTTCCATTGACTTACATTAAAAGTGAAGTAGGTTTTTTCCTTCTCCTGTAAAGTTAGCATTTTGGAGATATGAGGTTTTGCTCCAAGCAATATTTATGTTTATATATCTATTCAGCTACAGCAGTTTAGCCCTGCCCATTCGTGCTAAAGGTATAAGAAGTGAATCAGGCAAAATGCAGAGCAGCCAATCAGAACAGAGCTCATTTACATATATCCGACTTAAAGGCACAATAGCAAAAACAGCCTGTTTAATTGTAAGTCAGTGGACCACTGGAGGAAAAAGTAAAATGTAGAATATGGACCTTTTAAAGGCTTCAAAGCGTCCATACCATGGGAAATTTTCCTTGCTTCTTTTCAGAATTTGAGGTACAAATGTAACGTAAAGTTTCAAAATGCACCATTTTCTCCACAGTCCTTGCATCCCATATAAAAACCTAGGCTGCAAAAATAGATTTTTGTGATGTCACAAAAAACACCACATGTACGTATATCTGCCAATTCAGCCTACAGCACTTTAGCCTCACACATTCACAATGAAGCAGTGCTTTCCTTTTCCTTATTGAGGCTCAATACAGGGCAGAGGAAGCATGGTGCTAACTGCATGTCTAAATCATCATATACTGGCCTCAAACTGTGTGGAGTGGTTCAGTATTTCTAATAGACTTGATTATGTGGTTACTGACACTGTATGACTATAGATATGACTGTTATCTATAAATATGGGTTAAACCACATTGGCTTAGCTAACAACAAGAGTAGCAGTTGTTTTAAGTCTGAATTTTGTCCGTATTTTAGTCCATTTTTATAGATAACAGTGTGTCATGCAGAAGTAAACTTCAGACAACACACATCTTCGCTTTTCGACTGTATTTTGGGTAAGAAGGTTTAAGCTAAAACTGAAACAAAATTAAAACAGCCCCGTTTACATTGTCTTATTTTTATTTATTTATTTGCTCCCACTTATGACATTATGACAAAAGACATTTATCGACAGATGTAGACAGCATGCACAGTTTACTGTAGAGGAAATGTGGGATTTCAGATGCTCTGTTTACAGTAAAATATCTGAATTTGAATAATTTATGTTAGAGGGTCCAGACCTTACATTTTCTTGTATTTTATTAGGTCCACAGGTGACATTCGTTTGGGTTTATGTACCAAAAACAGTCATGATACATTTCTACACGACCATTTTCCACCCTCTCTTAACCTTTTAGAATTAAACAGGCCATTTTATTACTGTGCCTTTAGACTGATACATGTAAATGAGCTCTGTTCTGATTGGCCATCCTCATTCAAAAAGCATTCTTCAGCATGAGTGAATGGGACTAAACTGCTGTGGCGTATATGTATACGTATGTAAATAAGTTTTTGTGACGTCACAAAATCGATCATGTCTGTCGCTGCTGTCGGAACAAAACCTTGTATCTTCAAAATGGTAACTTTACAGGAGAAGGAAAAACATACTTTACTTTTAATGCAAGTCAATGGAACCAGAATGTTTTCCAAGTCATTTTGGGTTGTTTCTTTTGGTCTATTCCTCATGAAATTTGCACCCAATGTAAAGGACAACAGGCTTTTTCAAATTATGTCAAATGACAAAGATGGATATATGAGGTTTTGTTCTGACAGCAGTGCTGTATTTAGATTGCATATAATTGACTAAGGATTAAAGAAGATGCTTTGAAGCTCCAACAGGGTTTACATACACAGGCTTTCTATGACTTTAAAGTAAGGCAGCTGTGGGACAAAGTTGGGCTGCGCAAGCCCGAAGTTCTGATCTTAATCTTCATTTGACACTTAAACTCTTGCACGCAAAGGGAAAAAAAAGAAAAGAAAATAAAGCACCTGGTAATCCAGTCACCCTCAATCATGTTATCCACTTAAATTTCCACAAACTCTACACGAGCACACGCCTAACTTCTACCCGCATGCCGTAATAACTCTCAGGCGCGGTTGTTTTCCTGCTTTCGCTCTCGCTTTATTTAAAAAGTTGAAACTCATCGGAGGTAATGTTATAAGGGACTCAATTTCACGTGGCTGCGCTCATCAGCGAGTAAAATAGCAATAAAGGCGGATTGCTCTTGGGAGAGGCGCACGCTTTGGAATAAATGATGTGCGGGAACAGAGGCGTAATTAATTTACAGGCTGTATTGATAGTCCCGCCACACTCCCCTCTATATTTCTTAATCTCCGCTAACATCTTCATTATTTGGAGGAGAGGAGAGAAAGCAGAGTCAACAGCCTAAATGAATTGCCAAAAGAGTCGTACACAAAACCGTCTCCTCAGCGCTGGGATTGCTCTTAAGCTTTTAATTAGGGCGCCAACAAACAGCTTTTGATGTGCGTGCTGAAGAAGTGGAGACGAGGAACACGCGCGCACACGTATCCACGCGCCCCTTCGTAAGGATGTAGGTGTAATGGCAATGAAGTGCTCTTTAGTTCGCAATTATCTGACATTGTTTGTTAGGCCTAACTGCTGTAACCTGAATGTGAATGTGTATTTCTATTGCAAGCTCCAGTTTCGACATTAAATAAATGCATTCAAATAAAACAGCTGTTAAAACTGTTCCATTTACTGCAGTGAAATGAATTGCAAATGTCTGTGTATTACCTGTTTGTGCCATGTTCTCAAATCTGTCCGTCTCTTTTGCAGCTAAAACAGATGAAGTTCTGAAAGCGAAGGAAAAGAAAGAAGAGGAGGCGAAGAAGATGAAAGAGGAAGGTGAGGCTCATTCTGTTTTGGTGCCAGATGTTCTCCAAATGAGGCATCAACGAGACAGCTGGTTTTGATCTCTAGCAATGAGTTTGCACCAGACCTGATTATTTTTACATCAATAAATACTCATTTCTTTTATGCAATCAAGACCATTTCTAGCAGTACATTTCCATAAGGTTATCACTGCGGTGATTTAGGGTAAATGTCATTTCAAACATTTATGCAATTACTTTCTATAAGCTTGTTTTTTTGGCTACAAAGACCAGCACATCCACTTTTTCTGGCTTGAGGCTTGTCTGCTAAATGTAGTGCACCAGACTGCCAGTTAACTGTGTGTGTTGTACACAGTACTCGGGTGTTTGGTTGCTTTTCCCACTTAAGATTTAAGTTGACACAGTGATAATATAGGTTATCATTAAAATTTTTGCACATTTTCAAATTGTGATGTTAAAACAATTCTTTTTTTTTGGGTGCCTTCAAGTCCTCCTCGGAAGTTCCTGCTTACGACCTAGGAGGTCGTATGTATGACCTGATTTGTGTTCAAGTGGTTTTGGTTGGAAAAAAGACAGACACATTGGAAATAATTTTATGTCATTAAGGAGAGTCTGTGTGTTTTGCGTTACTGCAACAAAGTTAAGAGCAGAAGGTGTTTATGAGGATGTTTTTATGCAGTTAGATGCATCACATAACGTGCTTATATCTGTATTTCCATGCGTGGTTGTTTTAGCCTGCAGTGTTAATGTTCTGGCTGATGAATAACTGAAATATGGCCAGTTTATCAGCGGATATCATTGCTTTTATGTTGACACGCCCCCAACTCGGAAACTCGGGGCTCATATTAAAATCTGAGTTTTCTGACTAGTAAATACGACGTTGTGGTGGTGTTCAACAACAACAACATTTATTTGTATAGCACTATGTACAACTAGTGTTGTCTCAGAGCAGCTTTACAGAAAAGCAGTACTCCCTAGGAGTAAGAGGAAGAAACCTTGAGAGGAACCCAGGCTCAGGGGAGGAACCCATCCTCCTCTGGTCGACCCCGGATGAAAATAAATCCTCGTAAATCCGATATTTTCGACAGGACTTGAAGGCAGCGTGAGTCACTGTCAAAAATGTTGGTGTTTGACTCCGGAAAACTAGGTCTGTGTCTTCAGTTTGGGCCATAAAGGTCAAGACTTGGCCAAAGAAACCAGACGAAAGCCTCATCTACTATAATGCTCATTTTTGCTAGCTCTGTTTCTAGTAGCAGCCTGTGCTAGCAACATTAAGCTATGTAAGCTAACATTTGCTAACATAAACTGGTGGTTGCCATACACATGCATTAGTGTACATTAGGTTTTTGTGGACAGTATTGATAGATTAATTATAGATACGAAGACGTGTTCATTTGAAACTTGTGGCAGACATTAACATGTAAAGTCATATGCAGAGGTTTAGGCTGGGTGTTCATACTTTTGCATACAAATCTATATTTGAGCATGTATGTATCTCTTATACAGTGACTCTTTCAGTAAAGAGTTCTGACATAGAGCTGCCGCCACTGTTTTCCATTCCTAACAGCTAACCTAAACCTGCCTAGATTATGACACATATTCACAGTCAGTAACATATCTAGAACTTACAGAAGGCTTTTATTCTCACAAAATTGGTCCCACCCATTGTAAATCAAAGCATGATTTATTTCACTGTCAAGCTTTTAATTTTATAGGTGGATAATCTCATGTGTGAGGCTTTCAGTCCAGTTCCTGAAGACCTAACCAATGGGAGAGCTCACTTGGCTGTATCTACCTGGATGCAGCAGGGAAAACAATCCTGATTGGACAGTTTACCATTCATTGTTTCAATATATGAACAGAGTTGAACGTATTTTTTAGCTGTCAGAAATCATTAGGAATTCTCTGAAGACTTAAAAGGAAGTTTTAGGTTCAGATGTCTTTACAGTGGTGGTGATAGGAACCAGGGGTCACCATGACAACAACACAAACATAGACATTTTATTTACTATCCAAAACCACCAGTGAACCTACATGTGTCTTCTGAGCTTTAGATGGAATGTTTATGATGGTGAAATAGTGGATCTGAATTAATTAATTAATGAAGTTTTCTTTGAGGACTGTTTTTCCTCACAGCGCTCTGTATGTATCCCTCCACTAGGAATATGTTTTTAAAAAAGACATTTTAGCTTAAAAGGTCCTTACAAAACTATTGAAAAACAATGTCTCAGACTTCAGGCAGTGTATTCATAACCATTTAATGGCATATTTCTTTGTGATGTAGCCTGTAGAGGCATTAAACTCTTCAGATGTCTGGTTCCTATCACCACCACTGTGAACAATTCTTACTCTGTAAGCTTCTCTAGAACAAAGCATTTCACACCAAACCATTCTGAATGACTCTGTTTACATCTTAACCATTTAATTTTGCAGAAATTTTGAAAAAATAGTGTGGTTCCTCTTTAACTGAAAAAAACATAGCCTTTTAACGTACTTTACTGGAAAAAGATAAGCAAGCCTTTGAAAAGATTCGTATTGTAAGAGAGAATAGTAGAAGAATCAAAATATGCAAACTGATCACTGCCAGTTCTTTAGAAATGTAATTATAATTTCAATCAGTGATTTGAGTAAAGTTACTGAGTTCAGTGGAGTGTTTGTGACAGCGCTGCTTGTCTGAAGCATCCACAAATAGCTGCCTGTTTTCACTCGATTGATTGACAGCTAAATGAATAAATATATAAATAAATAACTTCAGGTTCAAGGTGATCATTTAAAGACTCATTGAGGGGGTGCTGTCACTTTAAAAGAAATATGTAGACCAATGGAGATAAAGATACAGGTACAGAAAGATGGATATTTGAGATGAGTGCAGGGCCGCTCTCTGACAGCTGAATTATACATATACACATACAGAACGTGGGGATTTTAATGGAGAAAAGTGCTGGGTTGTGCAGATAGTAAATATTGCATGTCTGCCCTCCCCTCCATCCTCAAGGCGTATCTCCGCACGCATATTCAAATGAAGTCAGGAGCAATTTGCTGGAGAGCAACACAACCTGATAGGTGCAATAAAAGCCTTCAGATTCTATAATGAAATTAAGTGTAGATCTGGCGTGGCAAAGCTGAATGAGAAAATGAAATCTGTGATGGCCTGATTACACTCCCCCTGTGTGTGTGTGTGTGTGTGTGTGTGTGTGTGTGTGTGTGTGTTGGGGTATGGTAGGGCTTTCAGAGGTGGACAAGATGACCAAATTACAGCATCCTGATACTGCGACCAGTTGCAATAGTGCCACATATAAGCAAGGCTGCTCTAAGAGTCTTAATCTTTTAAATTCAATATTTGCAAGATTAAACTATTTTAGGGACAACAGAAAAATCCAACATTAGTAGAAAATGTTTGACATCTTGTCAACTACTTCACTGCAAAAATGATTTCTGGGCAGACGAAAACGTCTTACATCTGGTCAGTATATTATGATTTCTTATTATGATGTTATTATAAGAATATTAAAAGATTGTTCTGCTTATTTGTATACATTTTGCACTCATTTTAAAGGCCCAATATTGCATTCATTTTTATTACTCACCTCACCTACCCCAGCACGAGGTTTAAGTATTAAAAAGCATAATTCATTTCTACATTGACCATTTCCCAACCTCTCATCTCTTAGAATTAAACAGGCTGTTTTCATTATTGGGACTTAAAGACTGTCATATGCAAATGAGCTCTGTTCTGATTGGCTGCCGTGCATTGTGCCTGATTCAAAAAGCAGTTCAGGCTGAAACTTTAATGTGAATGTTGTTATGATCGTTGCAGCCCAGACTGCTTTTTGAGACACAATACAGGGCAGCCAATCAGAACAGCGCTCATTTACATATATCGGTCTTAAGAGCAGAGTACCAAAATGCTGTTGTCAGAACAAAACCTTGTATCTCCAAAATGCTAACTTTACAGGAGGAGGAAAAAACATACTTTACTTTAAATGTAAGTGAATGTAACCAAACATCTTTACAAGTAATTTTGGGCCGTTTCTTTTGGTCCATTCTTTATGAAATTTTGACACAATGTAAAGGACAACAGTCATTTTCGAATTGTCAAAAACTGAAAAACGGAAATGGAAATATGAGGTTCTGTTCTGACAGTAGCGAATAATAGTCTGTTTAATTCTAATTAATAAAAAGAGTTTGGAAAATGGCTATATGACTGCAACATGGTGCATAAAACTATACAAATGCCATAAGTGGACTTGTGGGATATGGGCCCTTTACATTAATCAGATGCCACTGATGGAAATAAATCCATGTGATAGCTGGAGTGGGGCGCGAAGTCGGAAACCAAGTGTGTTCTTCTAATCAACTTAAAAGTTTCATTTTTGTTACTTTTTAACTGTAAATATGTTTATTTGTGTTTATTCCATCGTGCAGTGTTTTTTATTGCATTATATATTATTACATTTTTAATGACTCATTTTTTTGCAGTTCTATATATCAGTAGTAGATCATCATACCGCCCACCCTCATTGCCTGGTTCTACTCATATCTACACGTTTGAAAGCAGATCTCTGAGATTGGTATCTGAGCTTGTTATCAGTTCGCTGACTGTATGTAGAATTTGAGAACACCTACTGTTTTCACGTGCCTAATATTGATCCTCACCATCCAATTTACTCTGAGCTTGATTTAGTCGTGGCAGAGATTGGTGTCTGATAACGTCCCCTACATTCTGTTCATCAGTATCTGTACAGAGGGAAAAAAAACAGACCTATAGTTTGACCTTTTTGGATAGAAATGAATTCATTAGCCTTTCTTCACCCTGCCTGTCTTTCCTATTGTGAATTGCCTTGGAATATATCAAACACTAGCTTTCTTCTTCATCTGCTAAATTGCTCTCTGGTATTTGGTATGAGCCTTCTTGGAGGATATTAAGCAGCCTACACAAACTTTTGTTAGATGGCTGCACAGTTTGCTTCCAGTGCTTCAGTGACTAATAGCTCACAAGCAGAAATCTCACAAGCAAATCTATGCCTTATAAGCACATATGAGTGCTGCTGTTATAAAGCTCCTGGTGATCGGTGAGTATCCCAGCTCTCAGCTTCAAAAGACTTAAAATGACTCTGTATGTACAAAAGTATCCAGACATTCTAGTCAATTCGGCACTGACCAGTAGAGTGGGTCACTCTGGAGGAGCATGAGCCTAAGGTCACTATGCCCAATGCCAAGTGTGGGCTAGAGGGGTATAAAGACCCTGAGCACTGGGCTGTGGAGCAGTGGAACTGTGTTCTCTGGAGCTGCATCCAATATCTTTGGGATGAGTTGGAGTAATCCAGAACTGACCATCCAACATCAGTACCTGGCCTCACTAATGCTCAATCAAATCCTCACAGCAGTGTTCAACATCCAGTGTAAAGCCTTCCCAGAATAGTAGAGGCTGTTACTGCAGCAAAGGAGGACAAACTCACTATTAATACCCCCTTTATTTCAGTAGAAACACTGGAGAAACAGGTGTCTGCAATCTTTTGGACACATAGTGTATGGAAAGTATATCAGTGGTGTTAGAAACCTGGAGGATTGAGTGACTATTTAGTTGATTGATTGATGGATTGATTGATTGATTGGTTGGTTGATTGATTGATTGAAGTGTCAGACTGATTGATAGGTTTAGTGACAGATTTATTGACTAGCAGGTGCTAGCAAATACATTTATAACTAGCTTGAACTAGCCTGCTTACCTTTGATAAATGCATCTACTGATATATACATTGTAATGTGTAATAATTTGCATAATACTAATAATGACAATCAGTACTTGTTTTTAAATGACTGTAATGCAGTGATTATAATATCTTAATATTTATCTAATGGCTTGTTATCTAAAATAATTTAAAGCTGCCCATTTAGCTGGTTTAGTAACAATTTAAATTTCTGATTTGATGCAGTGCAAACTATTTTTCCATCCATCCAAATCCAACAAACAGGCTAATCATTTTGTCTGCACCTCATACTAAACACCGTCTGTAACCTCAGCCACAGGAACAGCTTTATACAGCATTGTGCATTTCAGAAATGTGTTTGTGCTGTCATTGTAAGGTTGCCCCACACTTGCTGATGTGATCCTGCCTGATTGCAAAAGAGCAACAATACCCAAAATGCACAGGGTATTCATGCTATTGAAACAGCACTCTGAAACAACTGAAAGCATGTGATTCACTGTTTATAGCTGCATTAAGGCACGTACAAGAACAAAGCATCAGGCTGCGGGGGATAATGGGCCCAAATAAGCATGTTTTAATCAGTTTGTAGTCTGAATGGTAGGGATAATGGGTTGGGGTTAACTCTCAGAGACTGCGTTGCAAAGTTTTGTGTTTATTTTCCGCAGAATGGTCTCCGAAACATATTTTATGATCTTCCAAATATAAACTGTTGCACTGTATAAAGAGTGAATGAAGTTGAGGATAACAGTTAACAGAACTAGTGGAATGATATAGGCTTTTAAAAGAGGCATATTACAATATATTTCTATATAAGATGGGTTCATCAGACCTGGGAGATGGTCACTGAAACGACTTAGTAATTTTATACTATGGCCATCAATTGATGCAGACTTTTGGATTTAAAGGGGAATTCCACCAATGTTTCAAAAGTTCTGAATTCAGAAGAATCAGTCATTCAGAGTGGTTTGGTGTGAAATGGTTGATTGTAGAGACTCAGATTTCTTTACAGTGGTGGTGATAAGAACCAGGGGTCGCCATGACTACAACACTAATATAGACTGGTCCACCAGTGAACCTACACATGCTTTATGTAATGTTGTTGATGGTAAAATAGTCATGAATCTGAAAAGTTTTATAAGTTTTCTTTGGGGACTATTTTGCCTCACAATACCCTCAGTGTATCCCTCTGCCATGACTGAACTGTCATTTTTTGCAATACAAAACAACATTAAATGTTTCAGCACTGCTGTTATATTTTTAAACTCTATTCACTTCCAATTATGGTAATACTGTAATACTGGACTATGTATGTTCATGACATAAGTGAGTGTGGAGCGCTTTACGCAGCCAATGAGTTAATAAGTTTGCCAGCCAATCAGCACTCAGTAGCATGTATGCTAGCATCCTACTAGAAAAACACAAAGATACTGTTTTCAATCTTCTACATTCCAGAATGGAAACTACTGTGTAAGAGAATAGAAAAATGTTGAATTTTTAACTGTTCAGCTTCATTCAAGGCCATTCATTAAGCTCTTGCTCGTGGTGGCTTATGGCTTTTTGCCATCGTGTTTTTGATACAATTATAGAATTCAACAGTGACCAGCCACCTTAAACTGGCTCTGATTCTGCTTTCCCAGTTGCAGCCAAAAAAGATTTCAACTCTGGCTTGTGTTCACATTGTTGTAAGAAATATGCATCAAATTATAGTGAGATCATTTTTTTACTAAAATCACCTGAAACAATTAAAAAGAAATGTGTACAAATAAGTTAAATAATCTTCTAATAAGCTTACAACAGTCTCAAAATGAGACACATTAGATATATCAACTAGATTTTATTTTACTTGCCAAGATGCCGTTTTTTGCAGTGCAGGGTTCACTAATGATCACCTGGATCTACTGGAACAATGCTTTAATGACAGATCAGACAAACATTGGCCTCTTTGTTAAATGTACACAATACGTTTGAGGATGTGCTTTTCTTTATACCTCTGTAGCCAAAGGTGAGCAGCTCAGGTCCACATTACTGTTAAATTCCTCTGTAAAAAGTGTATGTGTGTGAAGTGCTGTGAAGAGGATGAAACTGAAACAGATTTTAATGCAGCACTAGAGCTCTGCTCGGCCACAAGAACTGAAAGTGTCTCCCAAAATTGCATATATTTATAAAACCTTAAATATCTATTTGAATTCCCATTTTTGTGCTTTTGCTTTCAAAAGGAGTTGGGTTGGACTTTGGCTTTGGGTTTTCTTTGTTTTCTTGGTTTCTTTTGCACAACAAATGAATGAACAGCTTACTTGTTACAGTGCTGAAACATTTTATTCAGAATTGCTGATTTCCACATAGTGAAAAGATTGTGCCAGGGTTTATTTAATACCAGCAATCCATGATGCGCCTCATGCTCATGAATCTCATGCCACCCCAGTCCCTGAAGCTCCTGTACTCTCCGGGCCTGAAGTACCACATCCTGCCTCTGTAGTGGGGCTGCTCGTACATGAGCCAGTGGCCGTCCATCACGTGGCAGGAGTGGCAGCCGCCGGACCAGTGGTAGCGGTCCATGATGGACTCGCAGTCCTCGGTCACCTCCATCATCTGGCCCATGAAGTTCTCCCTCTCGTAGATCCTCGTTCTGTAGGATCCCCTGTACTGTTTTGGGAGGAGAACTACGTAAGCCAAGTTTTGAGAGACAACCGAATGCGTATGGTTATGTTAACATATTTTAGAGCTGATAAACATACCATAGGGATCATGCGGCAAGACCTGATGCAGTCGCTCATGCCCCACATGCTCATGTAGTCGGAGTACTCGCCCTTCCTCATGAAGTACTGGTTGCCCATGTAATTGGGGCGGTCGTAGACCATCCAGCAACCGCTCTCCACCCTGCAGGAGTGGCAGCGGCTCAGGTAAGAGGACAAGTCGGAACAGTCACTGCTGCACTCATAGGAGCGGCCCATGAAGTTCCTGTCCTCGTAGAAGATGACCTGTTTGGATGAAAGGAGTGTGTTAGGAATCTACTGAGCTTGAGCAAATAGCCAATGCTTGTTTGAGTCATAGTAGGCCCTGATTGTTTGTCTTACCCTGCCCATGGCGATGGTGAGTTGATTGGCCTTGTTGGTCAATGCAAGTTCCCCTGATGAGCTGACACTGTGCCCGGTTTAACCCTTGCATTTATACCTGACCTAAACTCAGAGAACATGTGTGGCCTATTGTGAAAACCCCTGAGCCAGCAACATAGCAGGCCCATCGAGAGCTGAAGGGCTTTCACTACGTTTCCATGTGACTCGGTCTCCAGAAGACTTTAGAATAGGTGCTATAGGCTGATTGCAATGCAGCACTATAGACAATGCAGCTGTTGCTCGTATAAAACGCATTCTTTTGATGTATAGATCCTATAGGCTCATTGTTTTTGTTAGTTGCATAACACGTGAAAGGCTATATTTACTTCTCCACTGCCTAATGCTTTTTTTTGTAGTTCGTGCAGACTGGCAGAATTATTGCAGATAAAAGGGGAAAAAAACACTTTTACTCAGATTGTAAATGTGATTTTTTAATTAGGGGAACTTTTTTTGTGGAAAATATTGTGCCTCATTAATGACATTGTCCCACTTTTTATGTACACTATGTTGCCAAAAGTATCCGCTCGTCTGCCTTCACACGCATATGAACTTGAGTGACATCCCATTCTTAATCCATAGGGTTTAATATGATGTCGGCCCACCCTTTGCAGCTATAACAGTTTCAACTCTTCTGCGAAGGCTTTCCACAAGGTTTAGGAGTGTGTTTATGGGAATTTTTGACCATTCTTCCAGAAGCGCATTTGTGAGGTCAGACACTGATGTTGAACGAGAAGGCCTGGCTCGCAGTCTCCCCTCTAATTCATCCCAAAGGTGTTCTATCGGCTTGAGGTCAGGACTCTGTGCAGGCCAGTCAAGTTCTTCCACACCAAACTCGCTCATGCAGGTCTTTATGGACCTTGCTTTGTGCACTGGTGTGCAGTCATGTTGGAACAGGAAGGGGGCATCCCCAAACTGTTCCCACAGAGTTGGGAGCATGAAATTGTCCAAAATCTCTTGGTCTGCTGAAGCATTAAGAGTTCCTTTCACTGGAACTAAGGGGCCGAGCCCATTGCGCTTGGTGATGTAAGGCTTGGATGCAGCTGCTCGGCCATGGAAACCTGTTCCATGAAGCTCTCTACGCTGTTCTTGAGCTAATCTGAAGGCCACATGAAGTTTGGAGGTCTGTAGTGATTGACTCTGCAGAAAGTTGGCGACCTCTGCGCACTATGCGCCTCAGCATCCGCTGACCCCACTCTGTCATTTTACGTGGCCTACCACTTTGTGGCTGAGTTGCTGACGTTCCCAATCGCTTCCACTTTGTTATAATACCACTGACATTTGACTGTGGAATATTTAGTAGTGAGGAAATTTCACAACTGGACTTGTTGCACAGGTGGCATCCTATCACGGTACCACGCTGGAATTCACTGAGCTCCTGAGAGCGACCCATTCTTTCACTAATGTTGCAGTCTGCATGCCTAGGTGCTTGGTTTTATATACCTGTGGCCATGGAAGTGATTGGAACACCTGAATTCAATGATTTGGATGGGTGGGTGAGTGAATACTTTTGGCAATATAGTGTATAATATCTTCTGGTGTCCGCAAATCTGCTGTAACACTTCACATGAATCTTGCTACATAACATTGACATAACCAAGCCCTAAACATGTCATGGCTGATGTTATATGCTATTAAAAGTTGCCATGACATATTTTGTTGAACAATATAACAGTCTCATGTTACTAATGCTGGTTACTACTGGTTATTACTATTACTGCTATTACAGAATCCATGATGTTTGATGTCATGACAGTCACATCACATGCCAGTTGTTGCTAAGGATACCCAAGTTAGCCATCATGACCTCAACATTATGACATCTGTCATAATCTTCCTTATCATAATCTGTCTTGACAGCATATGACATCTGCTATCACATGTCTATAGCTTGGTTATGTTAATGTTATGTAGCAAGGCTCAGGCAGTGTTACCAAATCCACTTTATTACCATCACAAGTATTACCATCAACAGGAAGTGGACTGTTCTCGCTTCTGCTGTGGTTGAATCCTGAGTGATGTTGGTGTAAATTCGTTTAGACTTGAGTCTGAGTCAGGTGTGCTTGAGCTTTGAGTTAGAGGTGTCCAGTTTGGTAACAATTCCTGAAGGCGCTTTTCTCTTTCTAGGGCGTGATGAGCTTTGAGTTAATTAATTTCACTTAATTTTAAATTCCTCATTTTACTGAGGATAGATAGTTGCTAACAAACTGGCGAACTACTGATGGTATAATTCATAGTCCATAATCAAAGGCTGCCCAAAGTGAGGCCCGCTGGCCAAATCTGGCTAGCAAAGATGTTTGCTTTGGCCCAACAAGAAGATGGCCCAAACTCCTCCATCCTTTCACTCAATGAGAGAACGAACATTTTTATATAATTCTTATCTTTCTTTTTAGACATTCCCAATCACATTGTGAAAAAACAATCTAATGTTGTATATATATTTATATACACTGAATTCATTCTCGTAATCATTGAATTCAGGTGTTTGACTTAGTCCCATTACCACAGGTGTATAAAATGAAGCACCTAGCTATGCAGTCTGCCTTTACACACATCTGTGAAAGAATGAGTCGTTCTAAAGAGCTCACTGAATTCGAGCGTGGTGCTGTAATAGGATGGCAAATTTTGGTGTGGAAGAACTTGATTGACCCACACAGAGCCCTGACCTCAACCCCATCAAACACCTTTAGGATGAACTAGAACGGAGATTGTGAGCCGGGTCCTCTCGTCCAAAATCAGTGTCTGACCTCACAAATGCTGGATGAATGGGCAATAATGTGTAGGTGTCCCAATACTGTATAATATATTTCTATACGCCACATTCCAGAAGACAGAACCATGATAATGAACCATGACATTATGAACCAGCAGTCTCTCGTGGTCAGAGCGGCTGACCGTGTGCCAGCCTTGGTTGCATTTTGCTGTGTTGTCATGATTTATCACTGATTGGTGGGTTAAGTGTCTGCAGATGGATTTACGTCACCTTAAAAGTGACAGTATGAATGTGCAGATCCTGGCTTTCTGAAAATAATGATTGATCCATCAGGTAATTTGTGTAGACCTGCATAAAATTTGAGTTGAAGTCTGTGCCTACTTGGGACGTCTGTTGTTCACTGAATAATAGAACTAATTGGTTATGAAGAAAGTGAATCTAGGTGAAGTTGCATATGCCACTACATCTTTGAGTTCTTCTGAAATATTATGACTCATATTTAAAGACTTTTTGACTGATGATTCATCACTCACACTTAATGATGTCAGGTTGATCTTGATTTCAGCTGCTGTTAGTTCTTTTCAGCACCTGATGTGGTTTCACTGTAAGAAAGCTTGACCTGAAGCATTGAATCCCATCTCAGAATATAAGTGGCTGTTAATGAATCATGTTTTATTTTCATAAAATGGGCTGATTCAGGTTTGGTCGTACATCAAACAATCGTATATAGATGGCTGTTAGATACACTGATCAGACATAGCAGTATGACCACTTTCTTGTTTCTATGCTCATTGTCCATTTTATCAGCTCATATAGGTGCCCTTTGACGTGGTGGTGGTGTGTTAGTGTGTGTTGTGCTGGTACGAGTGGATCAGACACAGCAGTGCTGCTGGAGTTTTTAAACACTGTGTCCACTCAGTGTCCACTCCACTAGACACTCCTACCTTGTCAGTCCACCTTGTAGATGTAAAGTCAGAGACGATAGCTCATCTGCTGCTGCACAGTTTGTGTTAGTCATCCTCTAGTCCTTCATCAGTGGTCACAGGACGCTGCCCACAGGACACTGTTGGCTGGATATTTTTGGTTGGTGGACTATTCTCAGTCCAGCAGTGACACTGAGGTGTTTAAAAACTCCAGCAGCACTGCTGTGTCTGATCCACTCAGACCAGCACAACACACACTAACACACCACCACCACGTCAGTGTTACTGCAGTGCTGAGAATGATCCACCACCCAAATAGTATCTGCTCTGTGAGGGTCCATGGGGGTCCTGACCACTGAAGAACAGGGTAAAAGGGGGCTAACAAAGTATGCAGAGAAACAGATGGACTACATTCTGTAATTGTAGAACTACAAAGTGCACCTATATAGTAAGTGGAGCTGATGAAAATGGACAATGAGTGTAGAAACAAGGAGGTGGTCATAATGTTATGCCTGATCGGTGTATCTTTAACACAGAACAAAAAAACAGTATTGGAATTGCAGGATTGTTGTCTGAGTGAGTGGAACCTGAGTTCCTCTGTAAGGTATATTAATATGAACAATTTCATTTCATTCAGTTCTTTGGAATGATTGTTCTGCTTTGGGCCATCTTCTGATGTTCATTTAATTCATAGTGAGCGTAATGATCTTACAGGAAACAGTATAGGGTTTTATTTCGAGATTAAATGAACAATAAGCATGAAATGAGCATGAAATTTGGGAAACATTGCATGCTCTCCTCCTCTCTAATTCGCTGTATCAGTGGAAACATTGCCAAACTGTTAAATAAGCGTGTGGCCTCGGGCTACAGTACGTGGTTCCCTGTCATGTGGGTTTCTTAAGCAAGAGTTCACACTATAATCTCGCTTTTTTGGAATCAATTGACTTCCTCCCTCCTCCTCTGCTTGATGCACTTTCATTTTTCTCTTAAACTCTTCCTTTTTTCATAAGAGGTAACACATTCCTCCTGCGTAGTGCTGGAAGGCTCACCACCTTTCACTCACTCGCTTTTATGGAGGACGGAAATAGTCACAATGTGAGACTCACTGCCAGCGACCTGGAAGTTAAAAAACACTGAGTAAGGTGTTGCTTGGCCAAAGACTGCCCAAACCTATATTGGACCCCAACCAGCTGCTATCATCCTCTAGATAAACAGACTTTTGGTGTGTCTTCACTTTTACTTGCAATGCAAAAATATACTCATTACTTACAGTGTTGCATTTTCAGTACTGTGTCAGAGACCACCCTTCATTTATTTAAAGGAAAATAAGTGGAAAAATAAGTGTAAAAAGGGACGGACTCCTAACAACCACCTGGTAGACCCCAAAACTGCCC